AAGACTGATTCAGCTGGATTAAAAACCGAAGAAGGGAGAAACAGGAATTATAGTCAGCAGTTGACAGAGGAAGAAATATCAGAAAGGCGAGTTACATGGGAATGTGGACGACGATCATCTGCAAATGACATTAAACAACAGGACTTACCTGTAAGAAACCAGTCGAATGGATCATACTCATTGTTTCCTGGTGGAGATGTGGAGAAAAATGCCACTTCTAGCCAATCCCTGCCAAGCACTTCTGCATCAAACAAGCCTCTAATAACTGCATCAACATGTGGGGCAATTGCAGAAACAGGGGAACCAATGCATCAGGATTCAGATGATGACTCTCAAGAATTCAGGAGGAACTCTTTGTACAGTCAGTCAGGAGATGACGAGGGGTTCCTCATAGAATCAGAGAGGTTCTCCAGGGAACTGAAGTCTCCTCTCATTCGGAGGAGACGTGCAAATAATTTGCAACCATCTGTTCCCTCTCATAGTTCCAGGACAGATGTGAACGGATTGGAACTTCCCTCCAATGGAAACCAGAGAAGAGCATCCAACCCTTGCGTTAAACCCCAGGATTCCCACCGAGTGCTAAAGCTGGGATTTCTAAAAAACAACCATGGAACGTTATGGAATGTTGAAATGGAGCCAGAGCAGACACGTGATGGGAATGTTCTGATGACACCACTCAAAATAGAGACACAGAGGAGCGCCTCCATCCCGGAGATCAGCTCCTCTCAGAGTCCCCTCCTGCCTTCTCACAGATGCAGCCCCTCGCCCCCTCTAGGCCTGGACCCCCAGCTTCACCCTTCTCCGCTCCAGAGCCTGCTGCAGAGGGTGAAGGAGCGGGAAAAAGAACGCGGACTGAGAAAAAGAGAGGGAAAGATCGTAGAGAGGACTTTTTCTCACCAAGATTCTCCTATCTCCGCCTCTCCATCACCATCGGTCAGGGAAGAAGAGAGAGAGGCAGAAAGAGAGGATTCTGCAGTACCCAGTATGATATCTGCTCATGGATGGAGAGAGGGGAATGTGGATGGAAGTGAGGATGAGATGAAAGAGAGGTGAGTCTACATGTTGTCACCATTGCTGAATGAGTCATTGCTAAATGTGATCTGAAAGCAGTTTTTAGCAGGATTGTGTCATGAAGAATCACATTTTTCTTGATCTTCTGAGATAAAAGAGTTTGTTGTACTTTGAAAACATCAGATGGCGTCATGCAACCATTTATTTGGGCAACCGGATTCTGTTCTGGCTGCTTATTCTAAAAATGCAACAAATTCCATTCAAATACCAACCTAACATATTGTATGTTGTTGTTGTTTTAACTTGACTAACAGTGATCACCATGCGTTTTTTATAGCATAGATATAGATTTTTAATTTTAATAGTTAGTAATTTTGTGTTAAATGGAAAAAGAGTAATGTAAGTTATGGGAGTGGTGGTAAGTGATCTCAGAAATTTCAGTTTATTACAGATTGTTCAGGTACATGGCTCACAAAGGTTAAAAGTAGGTAATATGTTTTAATTTTAAATTAATTTGTAAATTATAATCAAATTTTTGTAATTTATTTAACATTGGATAATATAAAATATAATTTGTAATTTATATATAAAGGAAGCACAGCATCAAAATTAAAATGATGAAATATGTTTTTGGGTAAAAGTTATTAACATTAAATAAGAATCTCAATTACGCAAAATGTATGATAAATATGTGCATAAATATGTAATATGACCTCCATAAAATCTTAGTTTTAAAACACCACTTTGAATGTGTATTTGTGTCTGTAATGTTTTTTTACTCAAAATTTAAATAATCTTTCTTTTTAAATTAACCCTAAAAATAACCTTAACTGCCCAGTGGAAAATCATTTTCATTTTAAGTATATTTGTTCCATTTGTGAGATATGACTGTAGAGAGGCTTCACTTGACAGTTTCATGTGCGTTATTTCTTCTTTCTGCCCACACGCACAATTCATCTGTGTACTGTTACATAAAATTCTCTCTAAATTATGACATTCAAACCTTCCCAGGAAATTGTAAGAAGATTCTACAACATCATTGTCCTAAAATTATATATAAGCACTTGTTACTTCTCTGGTTTTGCATTATAGACAAGTTAGTTAGGCTTTCCTCTGGAAAATAATTACATGCAATGATATTTTACTTAATTAAGTAATTATACATTTCTTTAATAACTCATTAAAGCTATGTAGTGCTCAGAACAGATGAGAAGATAATGTACATTCAATCTTCTTAGAAACACATAAATTAAAGTTTCATGACATTTCTGACTATTTGAATGTAGCTTAAACTTCATGGTTTTCAATTAGGGGTCTGTGGACCCCTGAGGGTCTTTTAAAAAGTTGTATAAAATAAAAAATCTTGATATTTCTCATTTTGAACAAATACTACTTCATGATCAAGTGTTAATTAAAAGGCCTGTAAACATACATTTATTAACTGTTACTTTTTTCTTCTCTTTTTTTTGCTAAAAATTGCACTTTACTGCACTGAAAGAATTAGTGTAGGATTTACTTTGAAACCATTTTTACTCACAAATAATTACAAAGAAACATCAAGTAACAGAATTGAACATGACATTTCCAAGGAGAAAGACTGAAATAGTATTTTCTTGCAAGCACTGTAGTCGTTTTATTTACAATTTTGAAAAATATTTTTTTTACAGTGTAGGGAAGAAATGACAATAACCTTTACTTTTTTTTGAAGACATTTACCCATAAACCCCTGTTCTCTTTTTTGAAGCAATCATGTCCTAGAGGGCATCAGTGTGGACTGGCCAGGCTGGTGTTTTGATGATGAGGAGGTTTATGACTTTGAGGACTTTGAGGATGAAGACTGGCTTGACAAGAAGCTGACCACAAATGAGCCCCGGAGGTCAGAGGCGAAACCATCAGAGAGGCAAGATGAAATAGAATGTAGTGAGGTGTAGTCTATTAAATATGTAGAGTTGTGTGAAAAGTGTTTGGAGAGATGTAATATATAAAGTTCTGTGGCGTTGTTTAATTATTATGCAACATGACTAGTATAGTCAAATGTATTTGAGAGATACATACACCTTGCGAAAGATTCATTAACATTGTGTCTATTGTTATTATTATATTTACTTAAATGTATTTGTGTACAGAATGTTTTCTCTGTATAGCGATATTAAGAAACCTGTTTATAGCTTGTATTTTCTGTGCACAAGAAACTAAAATAAATTAAATTAAAACATGAGAAATTGTTAAAGTATGTTTTCCCCTTATTGCTTTATTTACATAGATTTTACATTCATATTTGAAAATATATTTGCACCAAAATTCGTTTTTACAAAATGTATACATTTATATATATATATATATATATATAT